AGCCCAGGAGTTGGAGGTTGCTGTGAGCTGTAATGCCATGGCACTCTGCCCAGGGGGACAGCTTGAGGCTCTGTCTCAAAAAAAAAAAAAGTGTCTCATACAAAAAACAGACCCAAACAACCAAAATGGCTACTTGCAGAGGCGGAGAAAAAATCATTAACATTCTCAGAGAAGACACTAACTACATCCATCAATCACACGATGCTATTTTTAAATGGAATAAGACCAAATAGCTCGTGAAAAAACTAAAGTAGCAGAAATGAAAATCTCAGTAGAAGGCTTAGAAGTTAAAGTTGAAGAACTTTCTCAAAAAGTAGTTAGCAGGCCAGGCATGGTGGCTCATGCACTGGGTGCTGAGTGTAATCCCAACAATCTGGGAGGCTAAGGCAGGTGGATCACTTCAGCTCACTGGTTTGAGACCAGCTTGAGCAAAACTGAGACCCTCCCCCATCTCTACTAAAATAGAAAAACTGAGGCTAGAGGATTGCTTGAGCCTAAGAGTTGGAGATTGCTGTGAGCTGTGATGCCATAGCACTCTACTAGGGCAACAGCATGAAGACTCTCTCTCAAAAAAAAAAAGTAGAGTGAGCAAGGAAGTGAGAAAAAAAAAACAGGAAATAATTACTGAGGACCCAGAATAGGAGGTCCACATTTGAAGAACATCGATATTAGTGTAGAAAAAGGAAAAACAAAAACGAAAAAGCCATAGGAAAAAATGGATGAAATAATTTAAAAGGATTTCCCAGAATAAAGGGACTAACTTTAGACAGAAGAGACAGATTTATACCAAAGTACACCACAGTGCTAACGTAGAGGCCCACACGCGAGGAGAACACCATAGTGCTAGTGCAGAGGCCCACATGTGAGGGGAAGATCCGATGTGTTTCCAGTTTCATATGAAGGACCAAGAATCTGAATGGAACTGAACTTTCAAAATCCACACTGAGAGAGCACAGCTAAGGAGGCAAAGCCTACAAAATTCTAAGAGAAAAATGATTCTTCACCTACATTCCACACCCAGACAACCTACCCAACTGTTGATTTAATACAGGGATAGAATGAAGAGACGTCCAGATATCAATTATTTTCCAGAAGCCACTAGAGGGAATCCATCTAAAAAGGAGAAGGAGACCCAACATGAGAGAGAAGTGAGGATGGTCCAGAGGGTGGGGTTAGACACCCTAAAATGACAGCTGAGGGCAGGCCTGGGGATCAACCAGTCAGGAAACAGTGGGGTCTAGAGAAACTTCTTTAGGAAGATGCAACTGATAGGATACCAAATTCTTTATTTATTTATAGGAAACTAATATGCTCATACCTTTAGAAGAAAAGTTGGAGGTAGAATTATACATTTTAAAAACTAAAAAAAAAAAAAATTTTTTTTAAACCACAATGAAGTGCAGAAAAAATAACCTTGGCATACTGTTTTGAATGTTTAAAATATAATACAAAGGGTGCCACAAAATGTATACACATTTTACGAAAGGAAAAGAAAACTGTATTAAAACTGTAATCGTATATGCAGACAACAAAAAATGAATTGAGCACCTCTTGTAACTGCAGAAGTCCAATGTGACGCGAGTAATACAAATTTAATACAGTTTTTTCCCAGCCTAAAATGTGTATACATTTTTTGGCATCCTCAATATATACTGGCATGATATTACAGATACTAAATGCCAATATAAACCGAATTCGTATTTAACAGCACAGGGAAGATGTAGGGATGGATAGATGACATGATAACAGGATGGAGGAGAGAGCTAAATCCTCATTGTTCAGGGTGCAAGCTTAATGCTTGACAGAAAGTAGATCAAGAAGCAGCAACAAAAGCAAGTAGTTTAAGGCCAGGAGTGGCGGCTCACACCTGTAGGTCTAGAACTTGGGGAGGCCGAGGTGGGTGGAACGCCTGGGCTCAGGAGTTAGAGACCAGCCTGAGCAAGAACAAGATCTTGTCTCTAAAAATAGCAGGGAGTTGTGGCAGGCACCTGTAGTCCCAGCTACTTGGGAGGCTGAGGCAAGAGGATCACATGAGTCCCAGAGTTTGAGGTGAGCTATGACACCATGGCGCTCTATCCCAGGTGACAAAGTGAGACTCTGTTTCAAAAAGAAAAAAAGCATGTTGTTTAGAACTGTGGAAGTGAATCCACAAAATCAGCTGAACTCCTTGAGGGTGGCTGCCCCTAGAGTGAGCGAAGGGCCAGTGAGGAGCTGTGAGCTGCTGCTTTGGATGATTATTTGAGTCATCAGCCTGTGTGCCTTTGTAATGTGAATAGAGATGAAAAATTAAATCTAAAAAGTAAAAATCTAAATCATATAACACTGTTTTGCTTAAAATAAGATTCTTAAAATAAGAATTCCATAGTCACATAAAGCTTTACCCAAGAAATTCTCTAATTAGTAAATAACCTGCTTGTCCCCACAGATATTTAAATGGCTGGCCCCAAGATGCAGTCCGACTACCCTAAGAGTCTGGAGGGCTCCCAGCCCATCTCCCACCAGAGCAGATGAAGGCAGCTGGAACATAGGGGCTGTGAATCCGGCTCTGTCCCCAATGCAGGTTAGCACCACGGCACCCAGAGCTGAGAGAGGCCCAGACCTTAATCAGACCCTGTCTCACCTTGCGCTCACCGGCTCCCCACATCCATCACCAGGCTTCAGAGACCAGCCCAGGCAAGGAGGCTCAGGAGAGACTCTGATTTGAAGCCTGGGAAATGGGGTGAAGCCCACCAACAAGCAGAGAAGAAGCTGGGGGTCCCTTCTAGAGGTCACCAGCAGGAGAGAGTGCTGGTGCACAGACAGACATCAGGGAGACTCTGGGTGAAACTACCCTTTATGGGCCTGAAAATCTGCCCTGACACGCGCTATAGATCAATTGTTATTTCTGCCTTTCCCTTGAGTAAAGAGATGGGATGAGCAGACCACAATGAGAAAGCAACGTGTGCCAAGATCGAGGTGCCCCTTCCCCAAGATCAATTACATCCAGAGTAACAGTATGTATAATTATACCATCTGCTTTATAGGACTGTTATGAGACTAAGTTCATCTTTGCAAAGCACTCAGAACAATGCCTGGAACACAGCAAGCCCTATATAAATGTTAGTTATTATAGAGAAAATAAAGCGGGGGAAGAGAACATGACTTGTTTGCAAAGGCGCTGTGAGAAGTCTCTCTGGGTTCAGAAATTGTGCTCACGTGTTATTTAAATGTCTCTGTGAGAAATTAAAAAGAGGCCTGTCCCAGTGAAGAAGGAAAGTTATATTTAGATAAAACTGTGGTGCACAGTGTGAGAGAGTCAAGCCTGGATACTATTATGAGCCATCACTTTGGTCCCAGGGAAGGTACATGCAGATGAGATGAGCTCCCACCCAGGAAGTGGGAGCCCCTGGCCGCTGGTGCCCAGCCAACCATGGTGTCCAGCACTCCCAGGTTCTGGCTTTGTCCAAGTGAGCAGGGCACTGGGGAGTCCCTACATCTAGGGCAGCCTCAGAGAGACCCTAAACTCAGCAATGGGCTGAAAACTGTGTGCGTCGTATCTAAATAGTGCTTGGAACCATACACAGATGACATGATCAAACGCCCTTGGATTTTGGCTCTCCCAGTCTGGAAACGTCCAGCTATTGTAACAACGTGACCTCTGGATCCATGAGAGTAGCCTTTTGAGTGAGTCCAAATTTTACAGAACAAATCCTTTAAATTTTAATAATAAAATACCCCTGCATTTTAATAATAAAACTTATTTCAATAATACGAATCATCCTACCAATACAAAGGAAAAGGAGGGGGAGACACTCAGACTTAGTATTTCCTTCCATTTGCTTAACAACTACAGGAAAACCTCCGTAGCTGGCCACCTCCCTACAATGACCACTTCAAGTTCACCTAATTGTTAGAGACTGGATATAATGTCTCAGTACTGGAGGCCAAGTTCCTTATGGTGACCACCGCTGCATGTGGGCCAGCTGGTTACCGTCTTGTGGGTGGTCAACCTACAGAGGTTCTACTGAATTTGCTAAATGCCTACTGGGTACCAGACACTGCAATCATGACAAAAGAATTCCCGTCCTCATCGAGCTTACATTTTAATGGAGACAGACAGACTATAGGTGCAGTTACTCAGTCAACTATGCAGTGTATGAGATGGGGCTGAGCATTTAGGAGGAAACAGCAGTGCAGGTGCTGCAGAGCCGTGTGGCTGGGAAGAATGGCAACTTTAAAAGCAGAGACAACCTCAATGAAAAGGTGACATCTAGCAACCCCCTGAGGGGCAGGAAGCAAGTGACTGAGGGTGAGCAGGAGTTCTGGGGTGGGAAGTGGGGAAGGGGAGAAGGGGGAGGAAGCGGGGGGACAGAATGTTCAGGAGCAATGTGCAAAAGGGACATCAAGGAGCCACAGAGGCAGCCAGCACAGCCGGGTCCAGAGCGTGCTGGGGAGAGACAGGCCCACCTGGATCTCGAGAGCAACGGGCAGTCCCCGGAGGGTTTGGGGTTGAGCTTTCAAAAGACCGCTCTGGCAGCAATACGTTTATTGGCCACTTTTTTGAAGAACAAAAAGCTAACAGATGTTCTAAGGAACTTGCCCTTGCCCTACTAAAGGATGCTACGAACTGTGAGAGGCTCCAAGGTCAGAGGGGCCACTGAGCTGTGAGGAGAGAGAAGCTGTAGCCAGGAAGCAAAGGGGCTCTGGGGTCCCAGAGTAGGGGCCAGACATGCAGGAGTGCACAGGACCAGCTGCAGGGAACACAATGATCTTCTGTCTTCTTGGTATCCATCTTCTCTGTGTCTGGGGACCCCTGCCTACAGGACTGAGGGATCTGGGCATTCTTTTAAATATAAAAATCACAAGCACCTTGTTCTAAGCAGAGCAAAGGCATCACCACAATAATGACTGACACCTCCCCAGTGGTGACCTGTTAGTATGGCATTTGATTCAGGTAAAGGGCCTGTTAGCAGGTGTATCAGGATTTGGATTCTTTTTCCTTTAGAGAACATTAAACAATGTGAGGCACACATTACACACCTGAGTGAGAACCCAAATGTCCGTCATATGAAGAGCAACACGGTAACGGATGCTGCTTTCCTAATGAAGACCACGGACAGCCCTTCACAATGACGCTTGTAACAAGGAGGCTTGTTGATGGTCTATGAAAAATTCCAAAACACGAAACTGCAAATAGTGTATGAATTCAACTATACAAAAACATTTTTAAAGGATTAGGAAGGAAATATGCCAAAAAATGTTAACAGTTATTGCCTCTGGGTAGTATAGAAATATGAATGATTTTTCTCATTCTTCCCAAATTTCTTTCAATTGTACATCTATTAGTTTTATAATCACACATACACACAAACCTCCCACACATTATTAAAAAAACATGTTGCAGAGATGAAATGTCTCCGAATATTTTAGTTTACAAATGCATAACTGTAAGCTGTGGACATGAATATAGATGAATGTTGTTTCATTTATTCTGAAACAAGAATGCTGAGATTTTTCAGAAGTAAGAGAAGGCAAAATACTCCTGGCAAAGTGCCTTACCTGCTTAAGGAGGAAAAGATTTTGCAAATTATTTAGCGTTTTTGAGTACAGACTAACCACTGAGTAAATGCTGATGAAGGAGCCTGCTGCATAAATCCTGGGCTGAAAATTACAAACTCACTCACAAATGGATGTCGTCTAGTTAAACCCCAAATACAAAACACCCCAAATTACAGTATTAATGTATTTTGTTCAGTTGCAATACTATTAGCAAACTGTTTTACCAAAACATGTTTAATGTAGAAGCTAAACTCTGTTAGACTAATAATCATTACTTCCCGGTAGAAAAAAGTCAACTGTAGGATTTTTCATACTGTGATCGTTCAGGAAGGCAGCACCACACCAGGGAAGGTGTGAGGCTGGAGGTGGGCGTGGGGGTTTAAGCCTTGAATCTGCCCTTACAGAGCCAAATAACCTTAGGCAAGTTTTTTAATCCTCCTGAGATTCTGTTTCTAATTGCAAAATGAAAATAATAATGTTTAGCTTACCAGAACTATCATGAGAATAAGCAACATATACATAGAGTAACCAGAGCCCGGCTCACATTGGACAATGAATGAATGAATGAACAAATCATCAAAGCAGGCTGAGTTTGTTGCTGCTTGTCCATTAATACCAAAGTACTCATTCAGGTACATGGGGGGCTCCGGGGGTCGGGCAGACTGGTGGACTCGCCTAACTCCCATTTCCTCCTTTTTCTCCCCTGTTCACCTCTGGTGGAGGGTGGAAAGGACACAGGTATGTTCCAGCCTCCTCTCTAGCTAGAGGTGGCCCAGTGACAAGGAAACACCGCAGCCATCAGTCTAACTGGGCAGATTCCAGGGAAACACGCTTTCTTATCAGTGGTAGGGCCTCCCTCCCTTCTTCTCCTAAACACGGAGGCACTGCGGGGCTACAGCAGGCATTTTGCAACCATTAGGAAAATAGTAAGAAAAAATGGCAGGGACCCTGATCAAGATAGCGTGAAGCAAATGAACCAATGTCAGGAGCAGCCTAATCTTGTTATTATGGGAAAAAATAAGCCCTGCTTTATTAAGATGCTTAAAAAAAAATCTGTAGCCAAAAGCATTCCTAACGAATACAAATCCTGACTATAACTAGTTAGGGCTGGTCCTTGCCCTCATAGAACTCAGTGTCTACTGAGAATGGGGACAACAAGAGGGTCTTACAATAACACTATGTACAATTAGAATGTATTACTATGCTATTAAGGAGGGACTCTCTCCTTCACATGTCAGGGGTTTTGAGCCAGCTGAGGTCAAGGGCAGCTTTCCTCAGCAGGTGACGATGGTGCTGGGTACTGACAGTGAAGCAGCGAATTCTCAGCCAAGAGATCAGCAAGTGCAAAGTCCGGGACAGGAAAAGGGCATCCAGAGAGTAAAGATCTTAGGGAGGACAGTGGGCAGGGCCGGACTGCTTTGGACTTCATACCTAACTATTTAGGTCCCTTCTCCTCATGTGCGCCCAGTATCCACCTTCCCCTCCTCAGTGCCAACAGAAACCCAGTTTTGTTCAGGCCAATAACGTGTCATGCCCAAGTGGAGAAACAGGGTTGGTCCCAGCCACTAAGCACATTCTTTTTCCCTATTTTCCAAGATTCCCTGTGGTCCGGGAATACCAGGTGACTCAGATCTGACTACGGGAAGTCCACTGGGCAGCAGGGGCGGGCACAAGCCTAGGGAAGTGTTTGCTTTCCTGATAGAGAGGGGCGCACATGTGGCCACAGAGCAGCAAGTGTGGAGAGAAAACCAACATGTAAGGATGACGTGCTGTACTGTGTGTTCCCACTGGTCTCAGCTACCAGTAATACTTGAGTGTTTGTTACCTGCACCCCAACACTCTCCTAGTGATGCACCCACTTTCCTGGCTGATCGAAAGAGAAAAGGTAAAGGTCCACAGCTATTTAACATGCCTGGTAAGGCATTTGCTCAACAGCCCTAAGGAAAATATTTTCATTTCCATTTCCAAATCAGGAAGACTGCCCCACACAGCAATATAACAAGGCCCAATTCTGACAAAATTTGACAAAGAACTCAGGCAACTCTAGCTGTATGGTACTACCCCTAATGCAGCAGGCAGGATGGTAGCACGGGTGAATCGTCCGGAAGAATGGTTCTGCCTCATAACTGGCATTGAGAGACACTCAGGATGGTTTTCTAACCAGACTTTTGAGAACCAGCAGATAAAAATAAATGTTCCGTTGGCTGCCTTTTTTTGTAGCAGGGTAGAGTAAGTGAACTGAGATAGGCTTGTTTGTGGAGAGCTGAGGAGAATCACGTGTGAATGGAGAGGGCTGTCGGAGTCATTAGTGGTGATAAAGGACTCCATTCACCGTGGGGGTGATTTAAGGCAGTAAGCACAATTCAGAGCAGTTTTTGAAATGAGCATGATTATTTGCTTCCCTTCATTAGAGGAAGAAATTAGTCGGATACTACTAATCTATTCACACGAGCCACCAAAAGAAAACCACCACTGGTAATGTGAGTGTCCGGACAGAAGGCATAAATGGACAACCGAGAGACCCGTCAGAACTCGAGATGTTACCCGTCCAGTTCTGTGCTGTGGCTCCCACTTCCTAGTATACGATGCTGCCCACCATAATCTGCACGCATGCTTCCTTCCTCCCTGGGGTTGAGAGCTACGGGATTGAAAACATTACACAATAAAGATATTCTTACAAATGTACAAGTAAAGAAATAGGTAGAAATGACCATAATACTTACAGAAAGATTTTTAAATAACTGTAGATGTGTCTTCAAAATACCTAATGTAATCATGTAATCAAAAATAGATTACCTAAAGAAACATTCCATGAACCAAGGCAGCTGACTGAATATGCTAGAAATCATATAGTGACACAAAGGTGGGAATATAGAGCCTGTTGAATAATCCTGGGATTTTAATTTTCAGACTGGATTAGGAAAAGAGAAAATTCCTAACTAAAGGTATTAAAGGGACTACAAATGTTCCAACATGGTAAAAAAAATTGTGCTTGCCAGTCTTAAATAGATATGGGAACATTTATCTTAGTTATTGCAAAAACATAAAAAAATACCCACTCAAAAGATATACTGGGTATTTACTACCTTCCTCCAAATGACCATGGCACTATCACTGTTCATTTCCTGTGGCTATCAATAATTACTGCGTGATACAAGGTATATGCCAGGTAATGAAAGGGAGGAAGGTAAGATATTTAGATGAAGAAACTAATGTTCAAGGGTAGTTAAGAATACTGTTCAAAAGTTTCTTCTCAGGACTATTTTAATATCAGCCGGGAAAGAATAGCGTTGGGGGTCCCTGAGACCAGCCCTAGATGATTTGCTGTGATGTGTGATGATTTGTGATGATTTGTGATGATTTGCTGAGAGGACTCACAGACTCAGCCGAGGGTCATACCCCCAGGAAGGATTTATCGTAGCAAAGGACACAGAACAAGATCAGCACAGGGCATGGGTGCACAGATGGAAGCAGATCGGAAACACCAGCCAGTTTCCACAACCGCTTGCTCAGTGAAGTCACATGGCACATGCTCATTCCTCCAGCGATGAGTTGGGACAACATGAGTTACATTTTGCCTATCAAGGAAGCTTGTTAGAGACCTAGCACCCCAGGCTTTTATGGGACACACTCTACCTAACATCTACCAAAATTCTAGAGTCCTAGAAGGAAAGGCAGGTGCTCCAACATAAACTACATTGTGGAAACCCTCCCCAAATCCAGGTTCCCAGATACCAGACAAACACCAAGCTTGTGAACAGGTCTTTTGAAGGCTAAGGCTCAGGTGGGCTTTGTTAATTCTTTTTCTGCACAGAAAAGGTAAATCCACAAATGGCGCTAGGGCAACTGGTAAACCCAAGTGGAAAAGGAAGAAGAAATAAAATTGTGATCCCTATCCCTACCACAGACAAAAATGAACTCCAGATAAATTAAAGACCTTTTCAGCAATTAGAAGAAAATATAGTAGAGTATCTTTACAACCTTGGGATAAAGAATGATTTCTTAAACAAGACCAAAAAATGCACTATCATAAAGGAAATTGATGAATTGGACTACATTAAAACTTAAAAATTCTGCTCACCAAAACAACATTTTTTAAAATGAAAAGATAATTAAATCTAAGAAAAGATAACAATAGCTAATACAAGTTGACAAGAAATTAATCTGTAAAATATGTACAGAAGTGCTCCAAGTTACTAAGAAAAAGTCATTTATCTCAATGGGACAAATAGCCTGAG